CAAAATTGGAGAAATAGTAAGCAAAAATCGCGTTACAGCAAACAAGTGTTCGCGTTATACAAATATCGTTCCTCTATTCATAAATCGCGTTAGAGCAAATTCGCGCTATCAAAACACGCGTTATAGCAGAACTCACTGTATATATATATATATATATATATATATATATATATATATATATATATATATATATATATATATATATATATATATATATATATATATATATATATAGATATATATAGATATATATATATATATAGATATATATATATATATATATATATATATATATATATATATATATATATATATATATATATATATATATATATATATATATATATATATATATATATATATATATATATATATATATATATACAGTGGGGTATGCTATAACGAATCTAATTGGTTCTAGAACCTTGTTCGTTATAGGATTAACCCGTTCCAGGTCCCCAAATACAACCACTTAACACTGAAAAATATAATATAAAATTGTAAAAATTGTAAAAAAGTGCATAAATATGCATCTTAACCCCTGAAATAAAGAATATCATTAATACCTGTAATAAAAAATAAATAAAAAATAAAAAAATAAAAAATAATAATGTTCGTTGTAGGAGTTTCGTTCGTTATAGCATTCTCAATTTTATAGGTAAAACCGTTCGTTAAAGGAATATTCGTAGTAGGATAGCATTCGTTATAGCATACCCCACTGTATATATATATATATATATATATATATATATATATATATATATATATATATATATATATATATATATATATATATATATATATATATATATATATATATATATATATATATATATATATATATATATATATATATATATATATATATATATATATATATATATATATATATATATATATACAGTGAACCCTCACTTTACGCGGTCAATTGAACCCACGGAGGCCCGCGTAAAGTGAAAAACGCGTAGTGAACAACATAACATATGGGATTAATTGAAATAGAGACCGGCAGACCCCCAAAATCCACTTTTTCCGACACAATACTTATGCTCTAGTAAAAATAACATCTTAATTTTATGATGGTACAGCACACAATTAATATTTAAGAGAAATAGAGAAATACAGTGGCCAAGTTAATGTCCATTCAAATAATGGACTCAACTCCCTCCCCCTCTTCTCACACTCGCTAGCTCTTCCCTCTCTGAGAAATGTTAGGGGGAAACACTAGATTTTAAGGTATAGTAATAAATAATACCTGAAACTAAAGTTAGGATAATATAATTGACATTGCTGGATTCCTTGTAAGACCAGGAATATTTTGAATATAAATGTCATATATTTTGCACAAAAGATAACATATTTACCCAGAGTAAACAAAATACTTACATTAGATCTAAAATTTGTATGTCTAATGCAAAATCTATGATGTTTATATTCAAAATGATCATCAAATTGTAAGAATTCCAGCAATGTAAATTATATTCTGGCCGGGTAATTTGTATGAATTTTATGAGCTAAAACAAATATCTTCAGTTAATAAAATAAAAAAATATTCTTCACAACACTATCTGTCAATCAAAATACCCCACCTTGCCTCCCCCCCTCTTCCCACCATGCCAGCTGGGTCGGTCGGTCGGTCGGTCCCTCCCTCCGTGTCAAGTAAGTGAGTGTCGAGTTTGCCAGCTAGAGTGGCGTATTTTATGTCGTCCGTGGGGGTATCCATGAGTTTCTGATCGCGCCTGAAGTTATATCATTTTGTCGCCCCGACATCAGAGAATCTGATGTTTATAGTTTAATTAGTGTCAGTTGTCTATTTGAGAAAGTCATTAATCTCCTGAACTATTCTGTCAACTGGTATAATCTCCAAGATCTAGCGCCTCCCCGTGACTAGCTCCTTGTTCGCCTCAGGCCTGAGCTTGCAGAATTAATGATATCGACGTGTATATTCCACCTTTTCCTGGCAAGCTCAACCTCTGATTAGATTATATGAATAGACATAGGAAATTACCCTGATCCAGAACACCGGAGTTCATAACTAAGTATACAGTCATCCAAAATGATAGAGAAGTTATGTTGTTGGTAAGATTGACCCTTCTGGTATGAATACGGAGGCCCAAGCTGCCACGCGGGTGCACGTATATACCTCTACACGAGGGAGAATCACGCATTCGTGACTTCCTCAACGTCTCTCCAGGTATGTTAACGTGTGTTCCCGCCGCCTATTAATTCAGTTTAACTTAGTCAATTTTGGTGAATATCAGTGCTCATGTGTTAACATAGTGAATTCTGTGCCAATTAAGTCGAGCAACGTAGAGATTTAGATATTGTCTGAACCGTTGCCAGGCGTATGTTTTGTATAGTTGAAGTTAGACCTTTACGCATTCGTGACTTCCTCAACGTCTCTCCAGTGTGTTGAGCTGAATACTCATCAGCTAACATAGGTCGGTAACCGGGTTGGACGATGCCGTTAATTCGACCGGACTGAACTGGGAAGTCCGTTTCCTGCAAATCAGGCGCCCACTCCCTGAGCGTGTGTCGGTCTACAACCGACCCCTAACAGCGATCTTCATTTGTTGTAGAGACCAGCGTTACCCTGGGGCACTCCTCACAGTTACATAGGCCTAAGTATTATGGTACCTTGTTTGGGGGATAACTAGCAGAAATATAGTATCCCAGGTTAAGTATTGAACCACTGAATGAGAGTTAAAAGTGCCATGTTGTTCCTTGTGAATTAACAGGAGGTATTGTATGTTGAGATAATTGTGGATTTGTTCAGTGTGCTATGTATTCATTGGTAGTGGCCATGAAATGATAATCTGAGAGTATAATGATATAACCAAGAAGTGAAGAGTTAATTTGCTACTTGGTAAGGTAAGACCTGAGGGTCCAGTGATATCTGGTGTATACCCAGTACTGACTATCATTTGGCAGAGTGACAATACCACAATTGTCGATTGAAGTAATAAGAATTTGGAGGTATTTAATGAGGTAATAAGTTCTTGAAGTGTTTGATGACTTAAGAAATAAATTGCAGTTCTGCTTTGTCTGAGTGAATCTAAGATGCATCTTATCCAATCACTGTTAATAAATATTGAATTAGTAATCTACGTCTACGAGTATCACCACTCTATCCTTTCCCACATTGGTTCTCAGAAAATAACTAACTCACGTGCCTAGAAGCTCGCTACCTAACAGTTAACTAAGAGATGTTATATTCTAGAAAAATCCTGGGTGGTGGCAGTTCTACCGGTGTAAGTATAATAAGTGTGGTAATAAGACAGACACGGTTTCCCAGGTTAATCCATGGTTTAGAATATAACTAGAACCAAATATATGGAAGAGATTATAATATATGAAAGGAAATGAAAAGAAAGAACATTGACTTGGAAAATATAAGCAGAGAAGCATACAAGCTACTTATATAAGTATATAGAAGAATAAGGATATACAGTGACCCCTCGGTTAACGAACTCAATCCGTTCCAGAAGGTCGTTCGTTAACCGAAAAGTTCGTTAACCGAAACCATTGTTTCAATGGGTTTTTGGGTAATTGGTTCCAGCTCACCGAAAATTTCCTAAATTCAACAAAAATGGTAGAAAAGTTCACTTACTTTGAGGTGTGTTTGTAGAAGGCTCCTGGATGATGATGATGATGATGATGATGATGATGATGGGATTTAGAATGGGGGTGGAGGAGAAGGAAGAAGAGAAGACATTGGGGTGGAAGAGAAGTCACCCCATGGTGCCATTTCACCCATAAAATTTTAGCTCTCTTGGTGTAATTCAAGATTATTTTCTTTAAATCAACACTGCACTGCATTATATATTGTCAATATGTAAAATATATTTCAAAATGACCAATAATTTGCTTGGAAACACAGAAAAAAGCATTTAGTTGAAGAGAGTCTCAAGCAAGATGTTACCTCCAGTGAAAACAGAGAGAGACTAACGCCTGTTTGCTGTGTTAAGAGGCTGGATGCCGCGCATTAAACTAGTCACTTTACCTTCAATTATGTTCAATATAATCGTTAAAATGACTAAAAAATTGAATATTAAACTTTTAAAATTATTGAATAGTATAAACTTCTTGATATTTACTAAAATAGTAAGGAATTTAAGCCCTAGAACCGATTAATGTATTGGCGAACTGATACTAAAGCTGGTTGCCCGGTCAGTGCAAGCGAAAACATGTTGAGGTCGGTTCGTAAGAAATTCGTTAACCGAATTTTTGTTCGTTAACCGAATTGAAGATCCTTATGGAAGGCAGTTCGTTAACCGAAATTTCGTTAACCGAGGCGTTCGTTAAACGAGGGGTCACTGTATATGTAAAGAATTGAAGAAGGATAAGTATATAAAACAGGATACTCACTGGAAAGAATGCTACAGAACAAATAAGTATATGAATAAATAGAATACTAACAGAAAAATAATATCTATATGGTAAATTATTAAAAAGAGGAAACTCGGCCCATTACACAGTACTTACCATTTGATTTTAATTTCAACTATAGTATAGACCCCTGAAAACCTTAACCTCTACTCAATGGGCAGTCATGACTATGGGACCCACTTTCAATGGAAAACCACCCATTAGCAACAACTCAAGGTACTGAACAGTCCACTATCGAGAGGTGCTACTGTGTGTGTGTGTGTGTGTGTGTGTGTGTGTGTGTGGGGGGCTATATATTACTTATTGGGTGGTCATAGGGAAAAATACAGTAATGAACTGTACATAGCTTCATAGTTTTGACAAGACATTATGTAAAAAATGTTCAGCCAGTATACAAAATCCAACACTAAAATTTGAGCACAACTGCTGTTGAATGTTAATAACCATAGCTAAGAGTGTCTGGTAATGCTTCAATTAAAAACATACTCTACACTGTCTACTGAATAGCTAATAAAAAATAGAGATATCAGAACCAAATCAATTAAAATACCTTACTTAAAAACACCTGTCTCCTATTTCAGGAGGTTTATCAACTGAATGAAACAAGAAACTTCAATTCTGAAAAATTACATATTTCCTGAAGGCAAGATTGGTCACACCGCTGTTACATTCCCACAAGTAATTAAGAACTGCTTCCATCAACATTGCCACTCATAGTAATGAGAAAGAGTTACATCTTCAGTAAAAACCACACACTCAACAATCAAAAGATACATAGTATATTTGATTACATTAATTTGCTCTTATTGAATAAATACATCTACATTCATAACAAATAATTTAGCATAAAAATAAAACAAACCAATGGCTACAGAAATAAAAAAAGTAAATGAAAGTAATTTAAAAACATTCTTTCAATAATTTACTTGAATTGAGACCGGTCTAGAGTACGGTTACTACAGATGGAATTGCTATTCACCTTGAATGCCAGTAATAATCTCTCAAATGTTGACTTAAATTATTACACATGAAACAAATGGATCATAATTATGAATGGTTACTTCACTCTCTGGAGTACTTGTCACATTTACTCATATGGTTCCTCTAGCTTTCTTTGTTAAACTGGTGAGTAGGGATTAAAAAAAAAAATCTTTGTCTGACAGTATATTCATAATAATCAAATAACAAATAACGGTTTATTGAGAGACCATGGCAGCCAAAAGGTTGAAAATATGTACTCAACAGGACGTGTTGTTTAATAAAGTAACCCTGTGGTCGGCAGGAATCCCCAAAACCAAAGTTTATATACAGGGTATTATTTTACCTACTGTAAATGCATTAGAAGAAGAAAAACAACAACAACAATTGTCACTAATTCCAACAATTATAATTATAATTAGAGAAGTAAAACTTACAGGTGATTTACAGAGTACTGCACCCCACATAACAAAAGTTGGAGTTAACCACACTGGCAAAACACTTATTGGGCAGGGTAGAGCAGTAAAGAAAGGTGGACAGGGCAAAAAATGGACAGTAAAGAGTGGTGAGTTAGGCAGGTGCAAAGGTGGGCAGGGAAAGATGTAGGAAGTGTAGGGTGAAAAGTGTGGAGATGTGGACAATGTTGTTTGTGAATATTTGACTTAGCCTGGCATGAAATAATGAAATGTTATCTGTCAAAAATTTATTTAAAAACAGCTTGAGTGTGGGGTTATATCACATGGTTTGCATGTTGCTTGATGGTCACCCCTCAGAAGGGTTTCCTGTTTTGTTTTGTTTCTTATTTTGGGCATATCATCCATGCCTTTTTGTTTTGTTTGAGGGATATAAACTGTTTGCATGGGTTTTAGAAATTTTAGATAACAAATCACAATGGGAACAGCCACAACTAAACAACAGATCTCCCAGAGCCTTTACAGAGCCTGTCCTTGGTGGGTACTTGTTGAATCTACTGTCTCACGTTGGCAAGTGTTCATAATAATGTTAAAAAAAATATATATATGTACAGTATAATCTTTGTGTACTGTATCCATCCATTTCTTTTTTTAATGCATTTTATATTTCCTCTTATGTATTACTTTTGGGTGGTCTTGTTACACAGATCTATTTCATAGTAAGTCCTGTGCTAATAACAAGATGTAACTTCACAAAAGGTATGGATATATTGTACTGTATTTCAGTTAAGAGAAAGCCCAAAAGTGAAAAATTACTTTCAGAATTCATGTGCACCACTGACCTATGCAGAGGCTGGGATGGAAATGCATACTCACAGGTTTTGTATGTACAGTACTGTACATAAGGCTATCATATCAAAGATTTTGGACTATCCGACCATATTCAAACAAAGTTCAAATTATCAAGAGGCACCTTGGAATTTCACACCTCATTAATATATTTGAAATCTGAGGTTTCACTGTACAAAGACCCCTACATTCCTCAATACAAAGTAGTGAAAAGAAATGAATACGTACTTATGTTCCTACGTACTACCAGTATTGTAAATAAACCTCACCGGAACTTAATTCTAGAAGTAATAATTTTACCAGAACTGTTAATGAATATGAGTATTTTTGGAAGTTCTTAATTCACTAATTCTATAAAAAATATAATTATTTTAATGAAAATATGCAATAAATTTGGTTGCATCAAAACTAATGGACCTTGTTTTCAAATAGAGTTTTACAATGTTAAATAACAAAAACACAACGACAATTAGCAGTACAGGGCATTTGTTATCTGCTAGAATGTGTTAACATATCTGATTATCATAAATCAGAATTATTAATATCATACAAAGTTTTACCTCTTCAGGTCATACCAAAAATGGGTGCATTCAGTCTTCCTTAAATAGCTCAATGCATACACAAAATAAAACAGCAACACATGAAATATCTGCCCAAAAATTCTGCACAGCAGTTTGGTCAATGAAAAAAAAAAAAAAAAAAAAAAGAATTGTCACGTCAACTTAAAGAAATGTCAATCCTTTCAGTGATTGACTCAGCACATGGGCCAAAATTAATAACTTTCTTTATAATGTACTGTACTAATAGCAAAAGACATATACACACACAGTGATATCCCCAATAGCCAGAATATTTGGTGTAGAGCAGATCCAGGATTGAGAGATTTTCGGGTATGGAGATGGATTTTCTCATCCATGGAAAAAATCGCACATCCCCGGATTTTTTTCCGGGAACTGGAGAAAGTTTTCTGAGTCTAATCTACGCATCTTGCACGAACAGAAAGAGTCCTGTATTTACCTATGCAAACACCACTGTAAATGTACAATTTGTTGTAAAAAAACAAAATACAATACTGATGCAGTCCTCTTAAGCTTGTGATGCGGGCACGTCAAATGGAGATACAATGATACAGGATGGCCTGCCTTTGTCTTGTACCATCTCCTGTAGCAGGTGTTGCTGTCACTCTTCTCTCCCTCCATGAAGGAGGGAATATACATGCATTGTATACTGTACATACACCTACACACTAGTATACACTATCCACTCTGATACGTACTGTACAGTACTGTACACATGGTACTATCACACTTATTGAATGTACATGTACAGTACAGTATACCGTACAGCACAGATAGTGTGCAAAAAAAAAAGCAGTGAGCGAGCGTACAAGCTTGTACAATGGCAGCAGACAATGAACTAAAAAAGAGTCATGATGCAAGAGTTTGAGGAGATGGGCTGCGAGATACATTAGCCAATCATAGGCATCACATGACAGTAATAGCCAATTGTAGCTCATGAGCACTCTAAGCCCATCCACCCATGTGCCCAACATACTCCCCCGCATCGGAAACAAGACGCAATTTCTCGAAAATTTGTTCCCATGCCCGGAACAGTGATATATTCTCAGAATTTTCCATAAATGCGCATGATGCAGTCCTCGAAAATTTGTTCTCATGTGCAGAATGGAGAGGTTTTTCCTGTAATTTCTCGGAATGCTCAATTATTTCCCGCAGCTATTGGAAAATTCCGCGGACTGAAGATTCCAGCTAATGGAGAGATTACTGCAAAAAAGAGAGAGAAAAAAAAAATCCAATATTACACTGAAGATTGCAATGTATGCTATTCATATTTACGGGCTAGTCAATAAATAGCACAACTGAACTTGCTGTTATTAGCAATGGTCTCTCTTGTTAATTCTTGAAAGTTATCTCTTCCAGAATTATAAGAGAACAAAAATGTATCATTAACCAGATATATTTTGAAATTAACTTTGATCACTTTAAACTATTTAGCTGCAGCCATCTTGTCATATTGTTTCTTACTAAGAGGCTGGATCTTAAGGCAGAATTCAGTCCCAGATGTTGGATAAGTTTCATAATACTTTGGGTGCAACAGTTAACTACAGTACATTGGACCAACTACCAGTGGTGGGCACAGCTAAACAAAATGTTGGCTTCGCTAACCGCTAATCTGATAACTAAAAAGTTAACTTCGCTAACGCTAAACAACTAAAAAAAATTAGTGGAAGCTAACGCTAACCGCTAACTTTTATTACCGTATATCTCGGCCTATAAGGTGTCGGGGTAAATAAGACAGCCCCCCCAAATTTCCATTTAAAAAGTAGCTTTTGAGCTCTATTCGCTGTATAAGACCAGTACCCCAAATGTGACACTTACCCACTGACTCAGTAGTCCTTTACCAACCATCCTTGGTTTTTTAAAATAAGGCCAATTCACTTCAAGTAATGTCATCAAATGTTACCCGCTGGTGTAGTGTAAACACTAGTGATGTCACTGAAGCGTCTGCTATTTACCGGTAACTGGAACTAATGTCTGTGTCGAGTAAAATTTTTCCATTTACTTGAAATGGATTTACTGATTTATTTGTTTATTTATTTATTTATAATATACTGTAACATATTAAACACACTGCAAGTATTTTCTTTAATTTATAGCTTGCTTATATATATATATATATATATATATATATATATATATATATATATATATATATATATATATATATATATATATATATATATATATATATATATATATATATATATATATATATATATATGTATATATATATATATGTAGTGATGGGTTGTCAGACCACAGCTTACATCTCAGAAACAGTCCAGACTTGACCCGACATTAGGGGGGTCAAATGTAAGGGTACCCCTCGAAACCACTCAAGGAGTTACAAATCAACTGGCTCCCCTCCCATGTCACACGGCCCCAACAAACATGTAAGAAGGCACCGGCCGACTCTCTCCCAATATACACAATAACCTACACCGCAGAAGAAGTCCAGACCTGACCTCACATTAGCCAGGTCAAATGTAACCCTCGAGCCCAAGTCAAGGGGCCACAAATCAACCAGGGCCTCTCATGTCACACGGCCCCATCTGAAGATTTCTCCAGAATATACAACTTATAGTCTCTGAAAAAGTCCAGACCTGACCCTACATTAGCGAGGGCAAATGTAAGGAGACCCTTCGCCGCCCCCCCGATCAGCTCAACCTGACGGCTCGCCTCCCAATATATAGGACGTCCTAGTCCTCCCTCTGCCCAGAGAGAGACAGAGAGAGAGTGTGTCTTGTAACCAAGAAGGGCCAGCTACCACGTCCCCAGTCCTGCTCGAGAGAAGTCAGGGGCCGGAGGCAAGCCGCCTCCGGTCGCCTCCGGTCGGGAGCGAGTTGCCCTCGACACACCGGTGCCCAGCTAAGCAGTCTCCCATAGAGACAACCCAGGACCACCTGCTAGGCCTCCCCTAGGTCACGTGAGTTTTTGTCAGAGCTTTCCATGGGATGAGTTACTTACGTGGGAAGTGTATTCATTTCATGTTCGTGTCCGAGAATCAGTGTCTAGTAACGTAATATGATGTCCTAGTAACGTAAACATAATGTCCTAGTAACTTCAATAGAAGGTGTTATTAATGTGTCCATGTCATGTTCGTAATTAATAAAGAGTTGTAACGAAGCGGTGTTTGAGAAGTCGCCCTTAAGACGTAATAGATGTGTATTGACGTATAAGATACGATAAGTGTAAGTCCAGAGAGTAAATAACTATCACGGCCACGCTACCAAAATCTTCCTCTCTTTTATACTCTTATACTATCAATATTCTACCTATATGTAATCTTCTTATCAGAGTGCCTCATTATATTGGTGGCAGCGTACTATAACGTTAACTCACACTCTCCTCGTCCCTTGTTATTGGTAACAGTGTACTTAACGTAAACCCATGCCCTCCCTAATTTAGCCATAACACCTGGCTCGTTGTTTGAGTATTGTTCGAAAGTGCGTGATAAGGAGTTCCTGCATAGTAGCGTGAAAAGTGTCCTAGTGTGTCACCGTTACAGCTCAAGTAAATGTCTCTCGCCGTGGTATGCGCGAATTTTTTCTAGAAATATGTTCAGTGCTTAACGTGATTTCTCAGTGTCCCCCGCGATCTGTGACATTCTCAGTAGCCCAAGTGCAGTTTGATTGTTGGTCAGTTTTGAACGTAGAAATTGTGTTTCAGTGATGAAAGCGGTGTCTGTACTAACTGTTATAACTTAACATGTCTTTAAACCTACATCCTCCTCCCTGTCCTAATCCTCACCTCACCCTCCTTACCCTTCCTCCCATCCCTGCCCCGCCCCGCCGTTCCGTGCCCCGCCCGCAAAGCCCCGGCCTGGCCCGTTCAACCACGCCTCGGCTCCTCCCCACTACACTTAACTACGCCTCACCCGCCCTGCCTCACCCGCTCCGCACCGTCCAGTGTGACCACCAATCCCCATATGTTTTGTCCCGTGAGTTATGCTTCGAAATCGGTGGTTAGTGTTACTTTATATTGCGATAATTACAGAGCTTCACTCAGTGTGTTTTTATGCTAGTATGAGTTGTAATGTACTCTTTGATGCGTAGTGATAAATAATATTCAATGTAGTGAGCAGAGCTTCACTCCCCGACCCAGCCAAATGAGAATATTGTCGTGACGGAAACTATAGTTGCCAAACATTGACGTAACGTATAAAGTAAATATTTGTTTTTCTTTACGGATACACTTCCAACTAATCCATCATCCCTTTCGGATTGTACATACATACATACATACATACATATACATACATATATATATATATATATATATATATATATATATATATATATATATATATATATATATATATATATATATATATATATATATATATATATATACAACAAAATATATGTACAAAAAATAAATGTTAAATGAATTATTTATGGTGCATTAGGGTACCGGTACTGGTCACTTCAGACACAAAGACGGGCTATAAATAGCCCATCTCCCCCTCTTCTTACAGCTGCCAATGGGAAGCATCTTGGTAATTAAATTTTATGTTTATTTTCATTGTCTAATTTATCATGTATCAAAGTAATATTACTAAAAATTGTGTAGGTAGTATGCAGCTACCAAACAGGTAGATACTACCGCCTGGGAAGATATTGGAAGCATAATGTGTTGTCTAATGGTAGACCCTGCTGCCATATGGCATCACGAAAATTGTGACCAAGTCCCAGGTTCAGCGCTGACCTGACTTTCTGCCTCATTTACACACAATTGCAGTTTGAATTGTTCCTCTAACTTTGACAACACAACATACATACAGTATATTATTTCTCACTTTTGATCTTTTTTTTTACTTTTTGTATTTATTTATGGTTAGTTATTTAAAATAAGGCCAATTCACTTCAAGTAATGGCATCAAATGTTACCAGCTGGTGTAGTGTAAACACTAGTGACGTCACTTAAGCGTCTGTATTTAACTGTCAGTAGTTTCAAGAATTAATGCAGTCATTTACTGAATATTCCTTGTAAAAAAATAAATTTTAAATTAATTATTTATAGGAGAAGTATTATTATCAGTAAATATACCGATATGCATTACTGACCACCTCCACGGCTAAAAATAGCCCAATCTCGCGGTCACTTTCCCTTTCTTGTCTCCTCACTGGCAAATGGGGGGGGCGTGGGGAGGGGTGTGTGATGATAGCTGTGTTTATTACAGGGGTATAATTCTCTTTTACGGTATGTTAGACAGGTTTATAATACATTTTTATTATTTTAATATACCGGTAATCTTAATTTGAATCCAGCTTGCCAAACGTAAGTTTCAGTATAAAATAATTAGTGGTAAGACCTTGTGAGTGGCTTACGATGTTTCCATCACCACTCTTGACACACTAAACCACAATATTTATGAGGTAAGAATTTTATACTTGGTGGTTTAGACGACCCCCTAACTTTGGGCAGATTTTTTTAATGTTCAAATTCCGTCTTATAAGCCGAGATATACGGTATATGAATTTAGCTTCTTTTTTTTTTTGGCTCTAAACCCTTAAAAACAGACCTAGAGAGCTGAAATTTTCATATGTTGTCTTGTAGCTTAGACATAGAGCTTTCCAAAAAGGCATAGCATGCCAAGATCAGATGATGATCAAGGTGTACACAAACAATTAAATGAACAAATGAAATTAAACATTAGTTTACATTCAAGTTTCAACATACACTTTATAATCTTTATTTACTGTACGAAAACACAGAAAGTATTAAACGAATCCAAAAACTATAGTACTGTATAGCATAGACAGCAAATAGCATCATGCCAAGATCAGATGATGATCAACTTATCAAGGTGTACTGTACACTGTACACAATATCAAAAATAATTAATTTGCATTCTCATACAACCTATCGGCCTTATTCATTATTCATGTAAATATGCAATACCAACCACATACACATTATACCAGTTCATTTCTATATAACTTATTGTTGGTCTTAGTCATGTAAATAAACAGAAAACTCTAAACTTTAATGAAAAGTAAGTTTTTAGAAAATTTTGTTTGGCGCACACCTTGGATGACATCCTGGTTATGAACTTATGCAGTACTTAGCATAACCAAATATATTGACACAAAAAAATCTTCATTAAATTAATAAATAAATGAGAAATGAAATTATATATTAGTTTACAATTACATTCTATGATTCTTCCAACATACACTGACAGTCTTTATTTACTGTAA